GCCTCCGTGGAAACTCAATTAAACATTGACCGAGAAGAGATTCGACATATTGAAGATATAGAGATCTAGAAGGCATAGTAAGCAGCTGTTTATCTTTTATGATTGATTTTTTCGAGTAACCGTCGAAAATTTTAATGAATACATCTCAATTGATCGCTATTCAAAGTCAACCACTATATAAAGATTATCTGCACTAATTAGTTAATCAATATCTCCCATATCTTATATCGTTTATATATCTCCAATATCTCAATATCTCTTATATGTGCTGCATCTTCAATATCTTGAATATATTCTCCGTTGATGTTTAATTGAGTTTCCGCGCAAACTATCCGAAGATATGATATGCGCCGCGTCTCTCATATAAAAAAGTGATAAATCTGAAATGTTATTATAAATAATAAAATAATTTCGATTAAAAGGTCAACGTAATTTAATCTTTGTAAAGGTCTACCAATAGAAAAAAATCGTTTGAATAATAATATCAATTTTTAAAGTTAAAGGTTCAATTGTATCTATGAGAATAATTTAAAGAAAATAAAATCCATCTCTAAATAAGTTCTTCGAATATATCGTAGATTAGAATCAGAATAAAATAAATATCTTCAATTAAGTAAGACTAAAGTAATTTCCCTTTTCGTGCTTATTTTTTCGTTGCTTAACTTTCCGTGATCATCCTTCCTCGTGGTCAATTTTCTGGTTCCCGGTAAAAATCTTGATTTGGGTAAGCTATGAATGAAATTATTTCATGCACATGAACAAAGATTTTTAATGTGTGCTATATGTACTAATAATAATATTAGTAAACAAGAATTTAAACATTTTGGTTTACTTACGTAATATTCATGCTTATTCTTTACAAGATGTTGTACAATTCCATGAAGAAATCTATCGGATAGAATTTATAGATGAATTAGAATATTCAAACTTTTGCTTTGATTTTTATTTCAATTTGGTTAAGTGATTAATCAGATGATTACCTGTATAGAATGCAAATCCATATATACGTAGAAAACTGTTGAAAGAAAAAGTAACTAGACGAGAGGGAGTATTTTGGATACTATTTGAATTATTTGTTAAATATTTTGAATGTGTTGATGCATGTAAAATAAGACCTCATTGGTATTAAGTTGAAGATTCATTAGATTTTATCTTGAAATTGGAATGATGCAAACTTATTATTTAATTATTCGAAAGGTAAATGAACTTGATATAAGATTTTATAGAAAAGCAAGTCAAGATCTTCGAATGCAACGAAATCGAGTTAGGCTTTGTGTTCCTATTGGTAATATTGAAGAACATTAGAATAGAAATTATAGAATTTATTCAATACCAGTCATAAGTCAACGTGGTCAACATAAATTAGTTTAACCTAATAATTGTCTTTTACCTTGAATGTATATTATATTATCTTTTATTTTTAATTTAGTTGATAAACATATGAACGGTATTGAATTTCATATAATTAGTTTTATTCTCTCTTATTTAATTAAAATAAATTTGAATTTAAACCTTCAACATAATAAAATACCATTAAGAATTGAACAAGAACTTTTTATAAAACTTTGTTTATTTTACGGTGAACTAACTTATTTATCTAATCAAAATAACAATCAATTAAATGATAATATTTAAATTTATGAATCAACAAATTATTGAGATGGCCTTATTTCACTTATTGAAAATCGGTATTTAAATAAAAATGTTCATTTTCATTTTTGTTATACTTTATCATAAAATGCATTTATATCAAGAAAAGATTCTCATCATCAATTATTGTGTTATGTTATGCCATTTATGCATAGAAAAAATACATCATATTCATTTATTATTAAACATCATATTTTTATTATGATTTTTCTTCACAACGTTTTATTGAAATTCTCAATATTAATAAACAAATACATTACCCTAATATTGATGAATCAATTTTTGTGTACTCAAAAAGTTCATACACTCTAGAATCGGTCAGTGTGTCGGGCCGGCCGTCCGTCCGTCCGTTTACACGATAACTTTTGAAAGGAGAATCAGATCACGATGAAATTTTCTACACAGTTTAGTCTTAACAATGTCTCGGTCGAGTTCTGCGCTCCAGAAAACCTTGAAGTATCATCTCGATGATCGAAAGAACGAGCTCGAATTGTGAATGAATTAGAGCATGGACTAAAATAGAACCTATTTNTTCTACACAGTTTAGTCTTAACAATGTCTCGGTCGAGTTCGAAGATGAGCATGATCGGCTGAGCCATTCGTGAGTTATTGCAAAAATAGTCATTTTTCCCTATGGCTTCCTATGCGAAAACCGACCCATCTTGGCTTTCGTAAACAACTTTTCCTATCATAGTTAAATAAAACCCCAACTATTATATACCATTCGATAGAGAATTTCAAGCGCTACAAAATGGTATATAAAACATAAAGAAACAGGAAGGCTAACTCATCTATTACAATGATAATTAAACGGAAATAGGTTCTATTTTAGTCCATGCTCTAATTCATTCACAATTCGAGCTCGTTCTTTCGATCATCGAGATGATACTTCAAGGTTTTCTGGAGCGCAGAACTCGAATCCGTACTCCACTTGTCTCAAAATACTATTGGTTGAGCAGTGACCAATAGAAATCAAGTTATAGGAAAAAACGACTTTCTTAGGGTTAATCAAGATGATGAGTTGAAATTTGAGCTCTATTCGGCTCCAAGCCTTATTGATGGATCAATAGCCAACAGAAATAAACAGTGTTATAGGAAAGGTTTCCCAGTATAATTTTGATATCCAGATATTCATCGGATGACTAATCTGTCTAATTCACTTTTCTTCAGTACACGTAACTCTCGGATTTAAATCCGAAGTTTCCGCATTTATTTCTATTTTATAACAGCTAATATTATTTCCGTTAGACCAACAATAATAGTTAACAGTAGGATTCTGCTTATCTTCTACCTACGAAATTAACCTAAAAGAGAAGTGATCATCTTTGTTTTAAATTCTCGTCTGATGATACATACTGGACGAATAGTCAAACATAATAGAATCATAAACGAATTCTCTCAACGACTTCGGATATTTATAGAGAATATATCCTCGATCCTTCCTTTACTGTATAATAGTGCTGCTACTACTACTGCTTTTGGTATGTTATTCTAACAAGGGAACTATCCAAAGTGATATCCGCTATCAGAGTCTATACTCATCCGTATAACGGATACCTTAGCAATGGTAGCAAAGATCGATTAGGGTTCATTCCTGTTAAGTATATAGTGGATACTCAAAAAGCAGACGAAATTGTTCTCAAAAAAACGTTCGAGTATAATTTAATGTTGACACGTTGTAGACGATGCCCGGTGGATCTCTCGCACATATCACAATGGTGTGGGTGCCGCGAAAGGAATTACACTATGAAAATCTTGATGTCTAATTGAACATTTCTTCACAAGATTGAACATTCTGGAAGTTTTTAGCAAAAATTCAAAAAAAAATCAGATTGAACATAAGGAGATGGTTGGAATTTTATCTCGAAAAACGTTCGATTTCAATTTAATGTTGACACATTTTGAAAAAACTTCCTACTATTCGTTATCTATAGATATGATAGATACATCGTATTATGAAAACTCTTAAAATATTTCATATTGACTAACCTATAT